TTTCCCTTCAAGTGCAGGCCCTGATTACTGACCAGCCCCCTCTGACCCATCTGACCAGATCTTTCATGCTGCCCAGCACAAGCCTCCCCGCCATCACCTTCCATACCCAGTCCCACGTGGATATCTTTGCATCTGCTACCCTGTCTAAAAGGTCAGGCTGCCTCTACGTCTCCCATCCACATGTACTCCTGCTCTAAGGCTGAGATCCTTCAGGTACTTAACCAACTGCTCTAGGCATCCCACACTGCCTCTTCTTACTGACCTTTCTCTCCTAAAACTTAACTGCAATTTTATTGTATATTCTGTAACTTGGCTGTAGTTCTTTTGTTTTTTTTGTTTTTGCCTCATGCTTATTTCTTCATAGGACGGAGATGATCTTGAGGATACTCTGCTAATGTCATCTGTTTCTTTTCAATGAAATAATACTTCACATGTCTTCTATTTTAGTATCAATACTTAGAGACATATATGTTAATTCAAGAAAAAGATGAAAGAGAAGAAAGCCCTCTTTTTTGCGGGGGGAGATGCATTAGAGAAATCAAAGAGAGAAATAAAATAATGACCGATTTTGAGAATTTAAGGGTGTTTACAGATCACCAGATCAGTTTCCTCATCTACAGGCGAGAAAACTGATGTGCGAAGAAATATTCAGCTTCTAGAAGAGCTGGAGTCAGAACCGACCCTACTTCTCACTTTGCTGCCCTTTTCTTTACTGTCGCTTGTGTTTTATCTAAAAGATATTAGAAACAAAATGAAAATAAAAATAAAAGATATTAGGACCAGCAGGACGATGAAAGAGGGGAATCAGAAAAAAGGGCCAGTCATAAGACAAGCAAATGCACTCTCAAAAGGTCACTAGTTAGAATACGCTTAAAAGGACACCTAGGTGAACACAATGCTGACCCCACAAGCACTGGGCTGTCGAGGAAGAAGGAAGGAAACAAACCCTAGAGAGAAAAAGGAAATATCAAGTGAACTACAGGAGACTGTTTTACAAGGAGGAACCATAGCCAGCTTTATACAGACATTTGAGAAGTTTATTTTACCATCAGCATTCTTAAAAGCTTATTTACATAATGAAGACCACATAGAGTAATCAAAGAAAAAAGTTCTTATTAACTCAGGTTAATACGTCATTTGAAAGTATAAAGAAAGTACAATATAAAGTAAGGCAAAGAGCTCTTTAGACAAGTGAATTAATAATAGTGAACTAATAAGTATAGGTCTTCTGAGGAAGTCATAAAATTACTGAAGAGATTTGAAAATACTAGTTACTTGAAATAAGACATCCCATTTTCTTGTTCATTTACTAGAGGATATAACAGAAGGACCTCACACGAGTAGTCACAGACTTTGTATTACTGTTGCAGTCACTTTGAACAAAGGGTTGTGCTATTAAAGAAAAGCTAGCCACAATGGAATGTGAAAGGACCTTTTCCTATTTACCGTGGTAACAAAGAGACCAGACAGCATAAACAGTTTTAAGAAAAGGAACAGAAATACTTGCTAACTCAGGATTTGACCTTATTCTCTACTAAAATATGCACTTCTTTTTACCCATGAAGACGTTCTCAGCATCATCAGCTTAAGTGAGAATATAAAAAAAGAGCCACCTAGCAAGTGGGAACAGCAATGCTCCAGAGCAGCCACTGAGGTGGGCCCATGCTGTGAATCGCCTGCTTTAAAGTATGGCCCTTCGGAATCACGGACACTATCGGATAGCATCTCCAGGTCGAGATGAGGAAGACAGGAAGGGGAAGCAGGGAGCGGTGTGGAGGGGCGGCGGGGGGTGGGGGGGGCTTGCCACCCGCAGAGCCACTGGGGAGTCTGTGAAGCCCCAGAGCCCATTTCGGGCTCCCAGGCTGGGAGCATTCGAACCTCCACACGCCACTTGCTCCTCAGCATTTTATTTTTAGAATGTCGTATACACCCACATCATACCCTTCACCAGCAGGACTCAAAATAAACTGAATCTCAAGCTCCTCGTGACCTTCTGCGTCTTAGGTTGTCACGGAAGAAAAGGACAAAGCAGAGCCGACGGGCACTGGATTGGGCGGGAGGCAATCGGCAGCTTCTTAAAAAACAACCAAATAAATCCCATGAAAACAGTTGCCATGTGCCTACTCTCCATCTGCGTTATTTTTACTTACTTGAAATATAGGGTCAAAACGATCATTCATTCAAGACCAGTCTCTACAGATGTCCTTTTCTGCCTGACCTCGAAGCTTACACAGTTAACACAAGCATCTCTAAAAAATTACCCAGTTACTCTTATCCCCAGCGGACAGAATACAGTTCTGTTTTCTGCCCTCTAGCCAAGACACTGTGCATGTGGGCAGGGGCTGAGGAGAGACCCAGAAGACACTCATTTACCTATGGACTTTGGCAGCAGGTTTTTGACGAATTCAGTGTGGTCCCCAACATGCAGGATGCTATATACGCTTTTGTTCATCAGCTCTTCCTGGTTATACCTTAGGTACTGTGTCACATTCTCTGAAACAAACACAACGTTGCCTTCCAGGTTCACTACAAAGAAGAACCCATCAAGGGCCTAAGGGAAGAGGCACAAATTGTGTTAGAAAGGAGGCAGCATAAAATCACATCCGACTGCTAGGAAGGGCGTGGCCCCTTTAAGGGAGACATAGTTCACCACGTGTGGGGAGAAGAGGGACCTCTCTGGCTCCACTCCTATCAATTCAGAAACAATCAACACATTTTCTCTTGCTGAGATGATTCCATCTTAGTAAGTGGGAGACAGCCTACCTCAGGGTTTCTTGCCACAAACTAAATGAGAAACACTCACTTTGTTAATTAATCAGGAGATAACTACTGCCTCGTAAAAGTATACAGGCATTTATCTGCATTTTCCAAATGAGACTGATGTACTCCACAGGGCCGATAACAACTTTTCTGCTAGTGATCCAATACGGAGTCCTCGTTTTGTACAGCTCCTCATGGAATACAATGGGAAGGAGAGGTCATTGATAATTTTCCCTCAGTTTAAGGATAAACGCCGAGGAAAAAAAATCAAAATTTTACTACCTTTAAAGCTTCCAAGGCTTAAGCGAAAAGAAGCGAAGGTGATCTGAGACCTCTTAAGGAACGCCAATCCTTTATTGTTTGGTGTAAATGGGGAAAGGGTCTGGGAGGTGTGTGTCTGATGTGACAAACTAGTCTTCCTGGGGACCTCAGGCTGAGATACAGCCGGCACTGCCCTGAGACTACACAGGGCCTTGAGGTTTAGGTTTCTAACAGTGAGGACTCTGGAAAGTTAACTAATCATGCCTGGCTCTATTACTTTGTTCTCCAAGTTGTCAAGATGCAGGCTCCTAAGTCACCCAGATAGCAGTAGCACTTTTCCTGTGATGGGTGCATAGCTCACTTTGCTGTCATTCCAAAACAGATTAGGGAAGGAGGTGAAGGACCTAGGATCATTTCAGGAAATAAAGAGGATAATAATAGCTACAGACACATTTACTGAGCCTTAAACACACAGTGTTGCTTTAATATTTACAATTCTGGAAGGAATGTTTTCCCTTTTCCAATTCACAGAGGAGGAAAAAAACTGACTCAAAAAGGTTAAGGGATTCGCCCAAGCTCTTGCAACTAGTCAGCTGGGTTGCACATCCAGGTGGATGTGACTCCAAAGCCCATGCTTTCAACTACCACTCAGCACAGTGTTCTCCAGTATTTACCCAGCCCATCTTCCTATCATGGTTGCCTGGGTGATGCAAAGGCCAGGAGCTCAGTGAGTTTCTCTTGGTTCCTCCTCCTTTTTCTTTTTGATCCTCACTTGTCAGAGCTGTTTCATGGATCAGGGGAGTGATCAGGACCAGAAGAGGCTTGATGCTGATCAGGCAGGCAGTGCTTGGACCAGGACCACGTGGACCACACAGTGCATGCCAGTTTCTTCATGCTGTGTATTTACTACTATTTTAACACGAATGTTACATGGGCACACCAGTATAACAAAGTGTATGAATGGGACATAAAGTGTTTACTTTTCCTATAGTTTGTTTTTTCCTTATTATTTAGCAGGCTCCTATTTTGTGAGCTTTCTTTGAATATATTCCATCTTTAACTCTATTTTCATGACAAAACTAAGCGCTCTCTCAAATTAGAACTGACCATAAGGCACCAATGAAAAGCTCTTAAAAATATATATTAAAAAAAAACACCATTTGGTTTTAAGTTTTTCTTAAATGTTCAGTCAGGTTTTCCCAATGGTATAAACAATATGCAGGGCAAAGCAAGACTATGTGTAAACAGCCTTCCACGACAGGTCGGCATCGACTGTTGGAAACCTTGTGTGTGTGTGCGTGTGTGTGTGTGTGTGTGTGTGTGTGCGTGTGTGAGCGTGTATATGAACAGGTGTGTGTGTGTGTGTGTGCGTGAGCGTGTGTATGAACAGAGGTGTGTGTGTGTGTGTGTGTATAGGACAGGAAGTCAGTTGATTAGTTATATACCAAACGTTCTTTTAAACTCACTGCTTAAATACACATTCAATAGGGATTGTCATAATTATATTACCTATTGTTCACTTTTGGAAGTGCATGTAGTTTCCTGCTGCTTTGTACCATCCTAAAAAGACTGTCTGTGGCATAATATAACTGAAAGATGAAATTCTTTCATCTTATAAAACTGTTTGTTTTTTTAAAGCTCACTATGATATGCTCTGATGAAAAAAGCTGACATTTGGTTTTGTTGCCTGGCAACCACTATGCTATGATGTAAGCATGAGTGTGCATCTATGCCTAGAACGGCTCAACGAGAACAAGTTCTTTCCGTTTAGATTATTACATGCAAATTCAAACCTTAAGTCTCTAGATTCAAAGTGTTACCTCTCACACATTTAGCACTGAAGTCCTGCTTGAACAGGTGCTTGCTCAATGCACTGAATTCTCAGAAGACTATTTTGAAACAGTGAAAATGTGGATTTATTTGATCTTACGAGATAAGGTCCACTGATATCTAGCAGTCTGATCTCTGCAATTAGTGGACTTACTCTCAAAAGGCTTGAGTCATAGCCTTGTGGTTACTGCAAGCATTTCTTTTTAGAAGCCTCAAAAACCTTCCCAAGAGTTTCCACCCTACTTTAATTTTCCCCCATATAAGGAATAAGCACAGATATATGGGCATTTCCTAATGGTAAAAATTTAGATTACCGTAATTTCCAAATGAATTTTGCTTCTAGTTCTTTCATCTAATTCTAAATAAGCAGAGTCCACCTAGTTAAGAGTTTTCTCATCTGCTTCTAAGAACCAAGTGGGAGGTAGCACTCTCTGGCCTTCCACTGCCTCGTGAATTCTGGAAAATCAGGTTAAGTGTGTTTTTGCTTTATCTCTAAAAATTGTTGTTAAATTTTTCAAGCCAGTGATAAAAGAGATACACACAAGGGCCAATGTGGGGTCATTTAAAGTCTTTTGGCCAGCAAAGTCCGACCCAAGGAATGAATTCTGTCATTTCTAAATATAAAGACCGGGTCAGACAAGCTTTACATTTCTTCTGTGTCCCCCCCGCCCTCCTCCGATTATACGGTAGATTTTCACATAATTAGATTTTCTAAAAATAAAAATCATCTTACGCACCAACCAAAAAAAAAGGGGCAATTATTGGTTATCTCTGCTTTAAAAATCCGAATTTCTTATATACGTGCAGCTGCTGCAAGTTAAGTGCTTCTACAGTGGCAATGCTGCAGAGCTTCTGGCCATGCGGTAATTTTCAATCTCATCATATCATCAGCACAGTAAATTATCCTGAGAACTGACATAATTTATGTCTCAGGGCTCCTCTGCTTCTTGTTATATATTCACTGACATTTTCCCCCTCATCTTACCGTAGCCTACATCTTAAATTTTAATTCTGGAATAGGTACAGCAAAGGACTTGGTGTTTAATACTGTACCGGTTAGTAAAATAAGAAAGCGGGACTTTACAAATTCTAGATAGTAGTCCGGTCATAAAACTTCCTAAAGTTGATAAAGAAAAGGCAGTTATGACAAACCATTACACTTACGAGTTCTGCCTATTCCTTCAATTTTCGTCTTTAGGAAATCAATAAACTAGTCGAAGTAACATAAATAAAAAGCGTAAACCTCCTTTTAAAAAAAATCTTTGGCCGCAGCATCGGGCACGCGGGACCTTAGTTCCCTGACCAGGGATGGAACCTGTGCCCCCTGCAGTGGAAGTGCAGAGTCTTAACCAGTGGACTGCCGGGGAAGTCCCAAGTAAACCCCCTTTTGGTCCTCAAACTTTAACCTATATATATAGGCATATGTACATGCATCTATGAAAATCTAAGAATTCTGGGAACGTTTCAAACCACAGCAATATCACAGAATTTAACAGGACTTGTGAACACGGTTTTCCAAAATGAATGCTCAACTGACAGTTAAAGTTGGTCAAATTTGTATTCTAATCCACTTAATTTAATTCTGTATTATCAACTTGAAACATGTATAAGCTGGAATCCGGAGTAAAGTCTAGATACATATTATTAATAGTAAAGCTCAAGAGGTCAGCAATACTTCAACTTTAAGAGTGAAAATTAAGTGTGGATTCTCCTTAAATTACATTCACTTGAAAATTAAATGGAATAATGGATAAACAACATTGTAAAATACAGAACCCAAATGAGGGTGCACTACCTCAAGCATCATAGGCCCTAGTGCATCCTTGTCGATGACACCCTGCCCGGTAGATGACACGTCTGACTTCTGCACTTCATCTATGTTGGCGGCTGCTGCTTTCTCTGCAACAAACACAAGTGTGAATTCAACGGCAGTGCTATTTCAAGGACAGAGTGACACAGAAACATTTTTATTGTAATGATTTCAAAAATCTCCAGTGGGATCAGAGCCAGCTATAAAAAAGTTAGAGTACAGCCCCACCACCACTGCACAGGAGAAACTGCTGGAAGCCGGAGCCGGAACATTAACTTTTCCCCTCCAGAACCTGTGGCTCAGCCCCTTTCATGCTGCCAATAAAATGAGTTTAGGGGTTTCACACCAGTCCCTGACAAGCATTTTTTTTCTAGATTGCAAAACTGCTCTATACTGCGGCACAATTAGTGCCGCCTGCAGAGATTCCCTGAGCTGGGATGACCCGGGGCCTGTTGTTCAGGCTTCGGGAAAGAAATCAAAGATGCATTTGAAGAAGGAATAAAAACGCGGCCTGACCACTGTGGCTGTTCCCACGTGATACTCCCCTGGCTCTTGTACTGTCCCACCTCTTGTCGCCTTCACATTTAAAGTAACCAGAAAGACTGGCCCCTGTCTGGTGGAAGGTGCTTGACGAGGTAAGGCAGAGAGAGCGGCACCCTATCAAGCACTAGGAGAATTTCAACGGATGCCCTTTTACCTAGTCCAGAGGTGTGGACTGAAGTGTCTCCCCACGAGGCCTGGGAAGACATTCCATCATGGAAAAGTCTCACGGAGGAAACAGATGCACAGTCATCAATATATATATGCAAACGGGTTATTTCAAGAACACCAAGAAAAGTTTAAAGCACAACAGATACATCCCAACAACTTGCTAGGAAACGACACAAAACAATGCGTCAGTTATTTGCCCTGAATAAATTATATCCTTGTTTACACTGCATGTTACCATTGTAATTAAATGCAAGTAAAGAAAACTGTAAATCAATTTAGTACTCAGAGTCAACTTGCTTTCATGAACTTAGTAGACTCGGCTTCCTTTTTTCTCATAACAGAAGATTTTACACAGTATTTTGAAAACCTGTAACGTTTAATTTGTACCTGGGAACCTAGAAAGTAGTTAGGAATTACACAGGCCCTCCAAATCTCGCCACTCCCTGATGGGAAACGTCCACATGCATATTTATCAGTGGAAAAGGGAAGAAGGCCTGTGTAGTTCAAGTCTAAGCTCAGCCACTTAGTACAAGTCAGAGCACACGTCATTTCAACTTTTTAAGGCCTTAGTACCTGATTTCTTGCATCACGGCCTGTGACAGGAGTAAATGGGATGATATGTAAAACACACTTTAAAAGCCAGAAAGGAGTTTACAGATGTAACTTACTAGCATAGTTGTTTTAAAAAATCCTTTTTTAATTTTTAAAATTCATTTTTATTTTAAAAAAAAATTATTTATTTATTTAGCTGCTCTGGGTCTTAGCTGTGGCATGTGGGATCTTCGTTGTGGCATATGGGATCTAGTTCCCTGACCAGGGATCGAACCCGGGCCCCCTGCATTGGGAGCGTGAAGTCTTAACCGCTGGACCACCAGGGTAGCCCCCCTATCTGTTTTTTTTTTAATTGGAGTATAGTTGCTTTACAATGTTGTGCTGGTTTCTGCTGTACAGCCAAGTGAATCAGCTATAAGTATACATATATCCCCTCTTTTTTGGATTTCCTTCCCATTTAGGTCACCACAGAGCACTGAGTAGAGTTCCCTGCGCTATGCAGTAGATTCTCATTAGCTATCTATTTTATGCATAGTAGTGTATATATGTCATTTATTAGCTCTCCCTTACTTAGTTCCAAATGCAGAATTTAGAAGCAGAGAGTATCTGTTTTCTCAATGACTCTGCGACGTTCCTGATTCACCTGCTTAGATCTGAATAATTGTGACCAGCTATACATAGAGATATAACCCGTCTGATAGCCTTCATAACTCGGCACCTGAGGATCTGTTAGGCCTCACTTCATTTCTTTCCTTGCTGCCCTCCCTAGCTCTTGACTGTAGGCCCCTTACCTTATCTGCTGGCTTGGTCTCAGCCCAGTTCCTCAGCCAGTCTTAACTGAGGCAGGCAGCACCTCAGGTTCTTCAGACAATTACTGCACATGTTCTCCCCATCCTCTCCCCCCGCCCCATCTTTCCAGAATCTTTCTCGCCACCAAGTAAAGGCACGTGGGGCAGACTCCCACGCCCCGACCCCCGCTTCTGCTAGTCACTCTGTAAGGCTGTAGATTTCAGTGTCTGTTCACTTTCCCACACGAGTCCAGGGACAGGACTGGCACCATCGGCTGCTGCTTCGTCTACTCTTCCTCTAATTTAACAGCCCTGCACTGTCGGGGGTCTGTGCAGGCTTCAGGCCTAAGGATCCCTGAGTTTCCTTAATACTGAATCTTAAAACCCATGGAACAGATATTATAAATGTATGCAGTCCTACTGCATTCTCATTTATTTACTTTTTGTCTGTGGTGTTGTGGCATTCGGGGTGTAGGAACCAGGGGCATCGTGCTCCCATCAGCATCTTCGGTGGCAGCAGTGACTCTCAAAGTGGGATGGTGTGCCTAAGAAGACCTCCCCAGAGAAGGTCTATCAGAATCTGCAGATTGAAAGGCCTTCTTTGCACAAGATTCTGCTACATCTTCTTGGAAGGTATCATTTCTCCTCCCCTTCTGCAATGAGAACCCCAGCCCAAGAAATAGTATACTATCCCCACCAGGAGTTTCACAAAAGGGGTATCCTTGGTGTATCCTCAGTGGCCAGCACCATCCCTAAGTCAGAGTAGGTTTTCACTGAATATTTCGTTGCTGACTGACGAGACCAGACCCACTGCTGGCACTGACCCCCGGGAATGCAGGGGCAGCTAGAATCGATGGTGGTGGGGAAAGGAACTGATTTTCCCCTTCAGGCCCACTGGCCCTCCAGGTGCAGGGGTCAGCAATATGGGGAAAGGGTCTCCTGAGGAGAACTGGGCTTAAATGATGAATCATCTTGTCTTGCCTCAGTCATTAACTTTCAAGGCATCTCACATTCTTGAAGGCTCCCAGGTCCTTCCACTTCTTCCACTGTTACGACAGGTGGTGTTATTCTTCTTAAAGAAAGGACTGGGACTTCCCTGATGGCGCAGTGGTTAAGAATCCCCCTGCCAATGCAGGGGACACGGGTTCGAGCCCTGGTCCGGGAAGATCCCACGTGTCGCGGAGCAACTAAGCCCGTGCGCCACAACTACTGAGCCTGCGCTCTAGAGCCCGCGAGCCACAACTACTGAAGCCTGCGTGCCTAGAGCCCGTGCTCCGCAACAAAGACAAGCCACTGCAATGAGAAGCCCGCGCACCGCAACGAAGAGTAGCCCCCGCTCGCTGCAACTACAGAAAGTCCGCACACAGCAACAAAGACCCAATGCAGCCAAAAATAAATAAAATTTTTAAAAAAGAATGGACTTAATTTAGATTAAGGTGAGGCAGAGCGAGATAGGAGGCAAAAGCTAATCACAAAGGCAGCCCCATACCTATCACTGATCACCGGAAAACATTAGGCTATTTGTCATATGAGATTCTGATATCACAATAGTAATAAATTATGGTTTTCTGTGGCGTCTATATTAATGCCTCATTTTATGGCAAAATAAATACAAAATAACAATGTTTGTATAACCCATTTCTGAGTCCTTTCTTAAAAAAAATTAAAGTATAGTTGATTTACAATATTACATCACTTTCAGGTGTACAACATAGTGATTCAATATTTTTATAGATTACACTTCACTTAAAGTTATTATAAAATAGTGGCCATACTCCTTGAGCTATACATTACATTCTTGTGTCACATTTATATTTCCCAAGTCTTTAAAAGACAATCAATATACTTTGTGAGATGTTGGCAGTTTGAGGATCTGATCATCATTCTGAAGACCCCAAAGTTTCCTGAATTCATTAATTAATATTTTGTGGAATTAACAAGATTCAAACTTGGAAAACTCCATCATGCAGGTTCCTAAACACTAATAAACTTTCAGGTCAGGGTATTCTAAATATTCTAGCAATGTGTTCAGGCACTGAATTTTTGACTTTTATCGGAAAATAAGAACGAGGGAATTCCCTGGTGGCCCAGTGGTTAGCCCCACTAACCACTGGGCCCCGCGCTCCCAATGCAGGGGGTGTGGGTTTGATCCCTGGGCGGGGGGAAGTTCCTCATGCTGTGTGGCACGGCCAAAAAAAAAAAAGAAAAAGAAAACATGAAGAATGAGATTGTATCTGCATAGCATTTTCCTTCATCTTTAGGAATCTACAGATCAGGTATAATTTAGGGCAAGGGCCTAAAATTTAATGTAAGAGATGACTTAGAGGGGATAAAACATGTGTTTGGGCTCTACTGTAAAGCCTGGACAAAAATAATTATCATCCTGAAAAACTGTAATAATAAAACATGTCCTTTTTTCCTCTTTATAACATGCAACTGAAAAATCTTCAAAAGGAGAAAAGCGGCAGCTAACAAGCAGTCACAGAGAATGCGGGGCTGGCAGGGGGAAACCGCCAAGTTACACTGTCCACGTGTCTGGATGTCTCGCTATGTGTCTCACTCACGTTTGTGTTGCAGAGGTAGTGAAGGATCCTCATGGGCTGAGAGCTTACATCCAGCTGCAGGGGCAAAGCACTGACAGCTGAGCCAAATGACAAGTGAGGGCTGAACTGTGAGGAACTAAGTTCACAGAAGGGATAAAAAAGGCTGGACATAGCTGAAAATACTTCACATCCATGGTAGTCGAATTGGATTCTGCAGGATTCGTGAGCACGTGGCAAAAGCAATGGACGTGTGGCATCCCTCCCTGAGCGAATCTCAGCCTGGCCTTTGAAACCACCAGTGTTACGGAATAATGGCAAAAAGATCGTCTAAACTGGAATTCTAGGAATCTGACTCAAAATGAAGACAACAAAAATGTTTCCCAAGGTCAATCTGAAATTGTGGAACATGTGCTGGAAAGAAAACTCCAGATGAGACCATTGATTATTTGCAAGAGAACTTTTAAAATGTTCAATATTTATATATTTATTAAGAGA